AAACTTACAGGGAAAAGTCCAATGGCACCGCACTCAAACAAGAGTAAAAGCTGCCCGGGTAAACTAAAGGCAATTAAAAACAGATGATCCAGTGGAAGAGGCACTCACAGGTCTTGTAAGGAGGCAACATAAGATACATTTATTGGCTATGCTACACAAGCTGAGGGCTATGGGCATAGATGAGGTGGTGTGTACGTGGATAGAGAACTGGCTACGGGAACGTGTCCAGAGGGTATCTGTAAATGGCACCTTTTCAGACTGGGCTAGTGTAATGAGCGGTGTGCCTCAGGGTTCTGTGCTGGGTCCCATATTGTTCAACTTATTTATTAATGACATCGGGGAGGGTGTTAACAGCGATATTTCCGTGTTTGCGGATGACACCAAAATAGGGAGGGTAATAGACACGGACTTAGACACTATAACATTACAGGAGGACCTGGATAAAATAGGGGAGTGGGCATTAATGTGGCAGATGAGGTTTAATGTCGATAAATGCAAAGTAATGCACTTTGGAATTAAAAATAAACAAATGGGTTATACAATTATGGGTATGCCGCTGGGGAAGTCAGAAATGGAGAAGGATTTGGGGGTCATTGTAGACCACAAACTGAAAGGTAGTTTGCAGTGCCAGGCTGCTGTAAACAAAGCTAGCAGGGTCTTGTCCTGTATTAAAAAGGGGATGTATTGCAGGGACAAGTCTATAATTTTGCCACTTTATAGATCATTGGTTCGACCTCATCTGGAGTACGCGGTCCAGTTCTGGTCACCAGTACTAAGAAAAGATGTCCTTGAGTTGGAAAAAGTCCAGCGGAGGGCAACCAAACTAATTAGGGGTATGGAGGACCAGAGCTACGAGACAAGGCTACTAAATTTAAACATGTTCACATTAGAGGTGAGGAGATTAAGGGGGGATATGATTTCCATGTACAAAATGTTCAATGGTGGTAGCAACATTAGCGATAAACTGTTTAAAATTAACTCCGTTACAAAAACTAGAGGCCATCACCTAAAATTGGTGGAAAAAAAATTCCAGCACAAGGGGCGAAGGGGGTTCTTCACAGTAAGATCAGTTAGGGTCTGGAACTCACTGCCACAGGCGGTGATTTCAGCAAATAATGTGGAATTGTTCAAGAAACTTTTGGACGATTTCTTAAGGGACCGTAATATACAGGGGTACAGGTACTCCTAGAATGAGATCCTAATAGGTTGGACTTGATGGACTAATGTCTTTATTCAACCTCAAATACTATGTAACTATGTAACGTTTTGACAAGGCACTGCTTGTTTTTCTCAAGATAAGCAGTTTACAGAGAACATATTAACCATGTACTAGCACATTGTAGGGCTAATCCTGGGTGGAAACCAATTAACCTGCAAGTTTGTTTTACTATGAAAGACAACCAAAGCAACTAGAGGAAATCCACACACTATGGTGACAATACATGTAGATAATAATATTCTACTTTACAATGCCATTTAGGAACTTAGAAATTTGCAAAGCAAATGCTAACCACTTAGCCACCATGTTGACATTTGAATAACAAAGTTAAGAGAGAGGGCAGTCCTGTTAAGGTGTGATGACACTTTTTTTCCATGTTGCCATATTGTTTCTTGGGTACTTCCTTTGGAAACCTTGTTTACGACTTTCTGAAATCCCTAATTTGAAGTCCAACAGCAACGTTTTCAAAGGAAGAACCCATGAAACAATATGAAATTTAGTTTCAGATTTCCTATTATTGCTGTAATATCAGATAGGCATTATTTTGAACCTTCATGGATTTTGTCAAACTGTGACTTGGCATAGAAACCATCAAGATCAACCATGTAACTGTGCGTTGCTAGCACTCACACTCACCAGATCACAGTTTTTGTGAATAATATTAATGTAAATGATATAGTCTAGTTGTGAGAAAACCAGTTTGCAAAAGAGAATTGGCCTGTGCACTCCAAACAGAAGTATGAAGTGTCTGAACTGGTAAAGTGGTTCAAAAGACCACTTACTGGGTCACGTTCCTAATGAAGAGTGGCAGTGGCAGGAAAACCTCCTCTCCTCAGACCTTACTCTTCTCTACCGCATAACAAACTGCTACTATTACAATATTTAAAATAGCAAAATAACCACATCTAAGTCATATTTCTTGTCTCCTTGCTTTATTTGGCCACATGCTAATGTTCTTTTTCTCTTCCTCAGATGTCACCGCCCATGTCACTATTTTAAAATATTCGCATCATCAGTGGCTTGCTTCTTCTGCATTTTCACAGCTGGTCCTTCATGCCAGCATCAGATCTCATGCATGTACTGCAAGTGCATTAGGCTACCCAGCACTCACTTTGCTGCAGCCATGGCAATGTATAATCAATGAACATTTTCCCCCGTATGTTGTAATTTTTGTACTATATATT